CTTCTATTATTATTATGCATATACCCGTACGACAATAGGAGATGAGCGCCTCATTGTGTAATAAATCTAATTCCCTTAATGGGAGCTGTATCTTTCTTAAGTTTGGCCAAATTGACAGCTCTAGGAATATAAAGTGCATGGATAAAGACAAAAAATATTATTATAGGCTTGAGGGAATACTATTAAATTAAGGTTTGATGGAAAAGTAATGCGAATCAGATGAGTAATGAAGATTTGGGAATATCCAGAGCCACTCATCCAATACATTCAGCGGTAGTAAAATCTTTAGAAGCCAGACACAAGAGGAAGCCCCAAGTCCAAAAATAGCAATTTGTTGCAACTCTAATGAACAAAATGAAGAAACTAATCCGATCTTGTTATTCCGATCGTTGAATGAAAATATAAGTTTTGACTATTAACGAAGAGTACAAAAAGTTAAAGACACGCTGTTTGTGATCTAGCTCAATAATTGACTTATACTATAAAATATATTTAGGAAAATGTACCTCAGGGATAGACTTTCCTGCCAAATCATTGGCCTCCTTCATGAAAACTGATCTCAAGATCATCATTGCACGGGAGACGATAGGATTTTTCAGCGCCTGTTGACCAAATACGGTACCAATCGAGTCCTGTTGCCCTGGCGTCACGGAAACAGAGCCTATATTAACAGAGCTAGTCCGACGATTAAGACTCAGTGACCCAGTGGATCCAGACGTTGGACCGATCTGTGCAGCGTCATACTGCTCAAGTTGACGAGCGGCACGCCCGGCAACAAGTGCAATAAGGATCGGGCGATCTGTCACGGACCAGAAGAGAAAGAGTTCACCGCGGGTCTCTGGTGACTGACTGATGTGACCAAAGAGACGTTGGCTGCGATCCCAGAAGTGACGCTCAAAGACGAGAACCACCTAAAGATGAGACAAAGAAACGAGAAGTTTCAAGTAACAAAATCGTTATGACTGTGTGTAACAATGTAAAGTCCTAAGTGACTTGCAGCATGGCTGATATATTTAAGCATTGATCAACCTCGAGCACATTTTGCTGCCCAACGTGACCTTCATACAAATCTGTCATGAAATAAAACATTTTTGTGAGTAAAGTTTATTGAGATCGTAGATATGAAGACCAAGATGGTGTGGCCTTCTGTTTAGTCATAGAAAAAACGGTTGAACAGAAAATTAGTCAAGGGGATTGCCTTCACTTGCCACTTTGACATGTTGTAACTATGTGCTGGAATTCACGAATACCATAGCAGAAGACAGGACTGGGTACAGTCTACAAGGTCTCTCTGAAGAGTTCGAACCAATACTATAAAGCAGTGGTTCCCAAACTTTTCCTAGTCGCGGCGCCCTTTTTCAATTAAGATTTTTCCATGGCGCCTTACCCTAAGTATGACTATTCGTAAGTAAGAGATAAAAATAAATAAAACTCGTTTATCTTGATTATTTTTTACTTGATCAACATTCAATTAATATTTAATAATTAATGTGATAAATGAGCCTGCAAATCACTGAACATTT